AAGCATAACTAATTCAAGGTAGGCAGTACTGTCTTACTCAAACTTTAATCAATTGTAAAGCGTGTATAAAGCCACTATATAAACTCCTTACCGTATAGACGTATTTACGTCAAATTATCCGGAACCGTGGTTCCACTATCATTTTCTAAACCCTAATATCATAAGTATTTTTGTCTCAGAGGAACCTAATCCAACTTTAGGGTAAAAATGAGTATGTGTATAAAATAATTTTTACAAGAGAATTATCAGGGCAATAAAGTACCCATCCTGCAGGCCTTCCTATGGCAAAGGACAGCCTGGTAATCCTAACCAAATAAATTTCTTTGTTTACCAAAGTTAGAAAGCAACTGTAACTACAGATAACATTTCTGAAGGGTTCCTTCACTGTCAATAAAGAAAGATGCATATTTTACAATTTCACAGTATCTATACACAACACAATTAAGGTGTTTGCAACACACATGCAAGTATGTGCATGCACACACGTACAAAATAAAAAAATACATAAAAAGAAGGAAATACCATGATGTTAACACATTAATTTTCTGCTCCTTGAAATCACTATAAAATTATTATCAACAAGTACACTATGCAACAAACAAGAATAAGAAATTAAAACCACCACACTGTTCTTGCCTTTGTTTGACAATGCCATATTGTTAATTTATACCTGTGATTTGTTATAGTCATAGATGTACTTTTTATACAAACTAGATTAACTTGAATGAGAGTTGAGATTTTCATGTTAGCAAGATTTTAGATTATGGTCTTCTGGGTCCAAAATGTTGGTAACCACTAATCACATTACACAGTGTCATAACCAAAGAGCCCATAATCTAAACCAAAGTAGCTGTAATAATTGTATTCAAAAATAAAATACATATATATTACTAAAAGTTACAAATAACATACTGATATTTATAAATACCATAAACCATAATACGAGTATATAAAAATATTCACTTTCTAATATGTATTTTGGCAGGAATGTAATATATGTTGCATTATTCAATACTTTAACATTATTCAAGCACTTATCACTCAGTCTCCACTTTATCTGAGATTATCACAGTAAGTTATGAACTTCATAGTTTAATAATATTCCCTGTGAAAAACAGACATCATATCTTGCACATCCAAATGGCTACTTCTTTACATACTGTCAATACATTACTATTATCCTGATGGAGTTACAAAACAGTGCTCATACATTAACTTTTTCAGGCCTGTTGACAGCTCTAGTCATTACTGAATGTAATGACCAGCAGCCCATTATCAATTACACTTGTCAAAAACAGCAGATTGCATAATATAAACTGTATAGAAACAAGCTCAGCTGACTTTCTTATAGTAGACTGATGTCTCCTTACCCTTTCATAGACACTTCCTTTGTAATATGTAATATAGCTGTTTGTTATTTTTTGTTTGTTTGTAATTTAAATATTCTGAAAATTTTAGAATAACAGCTGCAATTCATTAAAATCCCAGAGACTCCCCCCCCCCCCCCCCCCC